ATGAAACTCCTAAACACATATGAATTACCTGAGCTGAACCAAGAATATGTAAAACTGATTAATCAAGAAATAGTCAATGAAATTAAAGAAGTTAAAAAAAGAGCTACCAACTACCTACTAAGAAAACCTCATGTCTTGATGAATTCACTGTCTAAATATACAAGAACTTCAGAGAAGATCTAGCACCCAATACTCTTGAAACTTTATTAATTTTTTGTTTTTACTTCTTTATTCATTGGATACAGGGTCTCACTATACAGTTCAGACTCATAGTGATCCCCTGTCTCAGCCTCTCTAAGACAGGTGCTTAGACCACTGAGCTATCTCCTCCCCAAACCCCTGAAACTCTTTAATGAAATCAAAAGGAAAGCATTACTCTCAGAGCCATTCTTGGAAGCAAGCGCTACCGACTTGAAGACCAAAGACGGATCCAGCAAAAAAGAACTACAGCCTCATCTCTTTAATGAACAAAGACGCAACAGTGCAGCAAGTCATCAAATAGATGTGCATCATTACAGGGTAGGATGCATTCCAGAGATGCAGAAAAATTGATAAATGTAATACACCTTATAAACAGAAGCAAGGTAAAAAAAAAATATAATCATCTGAATAAAGGCAGAAAAAGCATTTGACAAAACGCAACATCCATTCGTGACTAAAAACACCAAAGAAAATAGGAATAGACTGTCTTTATTTCAACCTGATGAGCGCGTTCGTGTCATTTTACTGGGCACCTTCTTCTCTTGCACAAGTGTCATTTTCTCCCTGCCTCGGTGTGCCGTACGGATTCAAATGTGTATGGCAATTTCTTTTTCTTCTCCTAATGGGTTAGCATTTGTTAATCTCAAGTGAATTCAAGGTATATCTTTTTCAAGGTGCAATACATTTTGAAAATAAAAATATAGTGTGAAATAGTAAATTTTTATCTTTTCTTATTAATTTTATTAAAACCAAATAGCAATGAGACAGTTTCAAAACAGGTTAGTAGGACACTTACAATAATTAATACATTGCATATTGTTGCCTTCATGGTAGTTATTCATAGTACAAGATTCAGTCATGACAATTTTTGTCAAAATAAAAAAAATTGTGTCCTAGTCCACCTTATTCACCAGACCTGCCACCTGTGACTTCTGGTTTAATCCCATAGTCAAAAGGACCATGAAAGGTAAATTCCTAACAAGTGTAGATGAAGGAAATTAAAAACAAAGAAACAGAAAAAGAAACAAAATAACTTCCTGAGAAGGGAAAGCCTAACTCAAATGGCATCCCTGGTGAATTTACCCAAACAAATATCCCATTGAAACCAGCAGGGTCTGTTGTTTTAATTATGTTCCAACTATGGCTGCTGTAATAAAGTTCTGCACACTTGGAGGTCGCATCAACTCACAATAATTCTTCATGGTTGTACAAACCGGAAGTGTGTAATCGTCTCCGGAAGCCGAAATCCATGCTCTGTCAGGGCCAGCGTCTATCTCTCATCTCCAGGGGTCTCCATTTCCTGCCTCTCCCATCCACCAGAGACCGCCAGCTTCCATAGCTGTGGTCACATCATTGACTACCCGGTTGCTTTGCCAGCTCCTGTTATCTACCTGAACATTTCTGACTTTGTTTTGCACGGTCACATGGGGTTCTTTGTGGGCATGCACAGTAAGCCTGATTGCCTCTCTTTCCTAAAATCCTGCAGTCTCTGACATCTACATAACGCCTTGGGTCACAGAGAGCGAGTAATATCAAAATGCTTCAGAATTAGGACTTCGGCTCTTTGTGGTCCATCAAGGATTTACCCCAGGGCTTCATGGGAACATTCTGCATTGTCAGGAAAATTTTTATAAGTTTGAAATAACCCTAAAATTTACTTCCTACATGGTCATTGAAAATCAGTTCCATTATTTGTATAATTTGTCTATACATACAAATTGCTCAAATATAACTAGATGTGGAGACCTAAAGTTTTCGTATTTATGCATCTTTGTGAATTGGCAAATAGTACTGGTTTGATGTAAACCATGTAATGAGACAGCATATTAAGTAAAAGAAAATGAAAGTTTCGAGATGATGTATGTGATGATGAGATTTTTCAGGAAATTATTTTGTTTATAACTGAAGGGTATGAGAATGCAAGAAAAAATGTTTGAGCAAAATGCACAATGTTTCTTCAAATATGCTGAACGTTGACCTAGAAGGTTGCTATTTTTCACAATTAACTGTCACCACCAGTGAGTCAAGGGATCAATTATTTGGCGCAATTAACATCAGCGCTCAGTTATATTTTCATACATTTAACAAATATTTATGGAGCCTGTAGAGCAACAGAAGTGTCTGCAGCTACTTCCATCATCATGCTAAAGGTTATGCAAGATCAACTAACATAACCAGCGACTCAAGGGCTCAACATGTTTTTACAATGTCAAGGCTCAATCATATTTTCACATAAGTAACAAATGCTTCCAAGGAGTCTGCAGCGAGAGAGCCTGTTCTCAGCTACTGGTCATTGTGTTATGAGAAATCTGAAGTCATGGTTCTCCAGGAGTCCTTGGGGAAGGTAAATGAGCAACTCAGGGGATGAACGATAGTGAAGGGCTGATGATCCTGCAGAGAAAGACCTAGGAGGAGGGGACCGTGCTTGAGGACCAGAGACTGAGCAGTGATGAAGGTGGGCAGGGAAGGACTCTGTGACAGGGTCCCAGTGAGTTGCAGCCCTGGGGGGGCACCCACATGGGGACAGCAGGTACAAAGGGCCTGTGGCACGGGCTTGGTTGGTGACATGAGGAACTGGCAGGAAGATCAATGCAATTATATAGGGTGAAAAGGCAGGAGAATGCAAGAGAGAATGTGACAGAAATAGAGGAAAGCTGTACCACAGACACTGGTTTGAGGTACACCCAAAAAGAAAAATGTGCAGTATGATTGGTTTTAGGCTTTCTTCTTAATCTGAATGTGTACTGATATGTGAATATATTAAAAAGATGGCTGTATTTTTTATTTATTTTTCTATTTTATCCTTTTAAAATGTGATCATGTTGGATGTACAGAAGGATGACATGAAAAATAAATATTAATTAACGTGAGATGCCAGATTTATTCATGGCTCAATAAATTAGGTAGACTACCTCTTTCTTGTTTTCAAAAATGTATTCAGTACTAGGTATAGAAAGTCTCACTACGTAGATTGCATTTGTAGTGATCCTCCTGTTTTTCAGCCTCCCAAACACTGGGATTACAGGCGCGCGCCACTATTCCCAGCCTCAGTCACTGTCTCAGCATGCCCTGGAGGCGTGGGTCAGCATAGCAGCCTGGGGATTGAAGCCCCAGCCCTGTGTCTGCCTAGGCAGGCACTTTAATCCACTGAGCTTCAGGCCAGTTCCAGGCTACCTCTTTCATTTTGTGATGTACAATGTATTTTCTGAAATTAGGATATAAGAATATAATAAAAAAATTTAAAAAATCAGAGCCTAAATTATAATCTCTTATGAAAAGCAAATACTAAATCACAGTTTTTAAACCATAGTGTTTTATTGAGTGATCTCAGGTGGACCTGAAATGAACAGAAGGGATACAAAAGCAGATGTTTGTGAAGAGTACTGTGGCATAGGAAGGCAGGCTGGAAAGTCTTGTGATGTTCTGTCAGCAGTGCAGAGCACATGGCTGCCAGGGGGCTCCCAGAGTACGAGACAAAAGCCTGAGACCGAGGAGTGAGCTGGGCCTGAGTGGAGACCAGAGGCGCAGCTTGTCAGCTGATGTCTAACATTGTCAGAGGCGGGGATGTTGTACAGAACAGAGAGAGCGAGAGAGAGGGAGGGGGAGAGGGAGGGGGAGAGGGAGAGACAGAGACAGAGGGACAGAGAGATAGAGACAGAGAGAGACCAAAACCTTAAAAAAATTCTTTGCTCATTGGCCAAGCAATGGCTGTGACTCATCCACATGGCTGACACTGACAAAGGTTCTACAATCTGAGGTACAGGTTCTCAGGATAAATCCTGAGGGCATTTCACTGACATTCTCAGACCCAAAAGCTACAACTCTTGTTGCATAGGTCCTGCTTTACCTTGGTCTTAACCATCCAGTAGAAAAGTATGAAGACGAAATATAGGAAATAAAGCCATGCTGTTATGTTGAGCTGTGGGGGACTCAGATCAATAATTTCTGACATTGCCAGTTAAACAGAAGACCCAATGCTATTATGGGCTACTGGACTCTTTTAGAATATTTTGCTGAGTTTACACACCTATAATATTCAATAACGGAACTTAGAAAAAATGGGGTATACAGAAGAATGTCCATTTTGTATCTGTGTATTCAAAGTTAACCACTTTGAATAGATATATAGATATCCTATATATCCTATATATCTATAGGATAGATATATAGTTGCATTCTCTTAATGAATAGAATGATTTGTTCTAATGGTGTTTGTAAATAGGATCACAAGTCCGCATCTTGCAATTAACCACTAAGAAGAATATATGCAGTGTATTATTTGTTGAAACTGTACTTCCGATTTGATTTGAAACTGTCTCATTGCTATCTGTTTATCAATAAAACTTTGAAAAAAATTCTTTGCTGTCTGAGTTATCCTATAATTAAGCCAAATAAACATAAAATTAACTGCCACAAGTAGCACATTACATTGAAATCTGGTGCCTCTGACCACATACATTTTCATTTGTCATCATGAACCTCCTCTGGACATTTCTTCTATTTATGGGCAGTTTGGAGCCTGTTGTATATGTATATTTTCTTGGATTGGAGACACAAAACAGAGCATCTCTGTAATGCATGCACGCACCAATATCCTTCAGGATAGTTTACGCAGCACACGTAAGGATATTTTAAGCATTTGCATTCTGTGTTTATTTCTGGACACTGTAGCCACTTTCATGTTCAAATCATTTTGCACAAGTGAGAGTATTATTTCAATAATTTGATTTAAACACAGACCTCAGATTGTAACAGAGCATTTGCAGAAAACATGAAAGAAAGAGAAACACAGAAGTGATTCACCTCAGAAACTTACAATCAAAACCCTGTGACATACCGGGCCTCAAGCGAATGAGTGTATTCTTGACTTTTAAGAAGGCACTACTGACCTCCTTGTTCCTCAGGCTGTAGACCAGGGGGTTCAGCATGGGGATGACCATGGTGTAGAACACAGAGGCGATTTTATCAGTGTCCATGGAGTGGCTGGACGTCGGCTGCAGGTACATGAACATCGTGGTCCCGTAGAAGATGGAGACGGCTGTGAAGTGGGAGGCACAGGTGGACAGGGCCTTGTGATATCCGGCAGCCGAGTGCATCCTCAGGATGGTGCCAAAAATGAAGATGTAGGACATTGAGATAACCAAGATGGCAAAAAATATATGGAAGCTCACAAGATAAACAAGAACCAGCTCGCTAACGTGTTTGTCAGAGCAGGACAGAGCCATGACTGCTGGGCCATCGCAGAAAAAGTGGTGGACCACATTGGAGCCGCAAAAGGAGAGGCTCATTATGTCCCCAACACTGATGCAGGCATTCAAGAAGGAGCAGAAATAGCAGCCTACAATAAGACCTATGCACACAGTGGTGGTCATGGTGGTGCTGTAGTGCAGGGGCCTACACACTGCCGCGTAGCGGTCATAGGCCATGGCAGCAAGCAGATAATTTTCCACACCAATGAGGGCTGCAAACAGGAACATCTGAGCAGCACAGGCGTTGTAGGAAATGACCTTGTTTCCCGTAAGCAGCCCAGCCATGACCGTGGGAGTGACCGCAGAGGAGGAGCAGAAGTCCACCAGCGCCAGGTTCCCGAGGAAGAAGTACATGGGGCTCTGCAGACGCGGGTCCAGCAGGATCAGCAGGACCAAGCCCAGGTTCCCAAGCACAGTGATGGCGTAGATGAGCAGGAAGGCGAGGAAGAGGGGCAGCCACAGGCGGGGGTCGTCGGTCAGGCCCAGCAGGAGGAAGGCTGCCACCTTCGTCCTGTTCTCCATCAGTGCTGTCTGCAACCTCTACACGCTCTGTCACAAAGACAATCATGAAGAAACTGAAAA